TTAAATATATAAATATATAAGATGGTACCTATATAATTATATATATATATATAGTATATAATAATATATCTTTACTCGGAAGGTTATGACATTATTTGCGTAGATCGGCGCACAACAGTACAGGACACACGGCAGTAAACTGCATACGCTAATTCCCCGAATAAGTGCTGGACACGAGCGCCCTGCCCCCCTCGTTCCGCTAGGGAGTAGGTCGTTGTCGTTTCACACACCTGTAAACGCACGCATAGGAACATTTCCAGCAACCGACGATAATACGCAAATTGCCGTTGACCGATCCCATTACAGTAACTTACCCGCAGAAAATGAGCAAGGACTGTTAGGAGGTTATCATATATGTCATATATAATAGATACAAAGAGTATATAATATAATTATGTAACTATAGATACATATATATGTTAATATATACGCCTATGTAGGATATTATTATTCTGTATGAATATAGAATGTCGACGTGACTCTGGTGAGATTCGTGGCGAGGCATCTCGTCATAAATGTTTTACGTTCCGTTTTCTCTCGCTGCGGAATTCTATTTGGCAAAGTTGTCGCATAGTGTTGGCTTACTTACGTAATACTTATCTATTATATTACTCGCTTACGTTTATGCTGATAGAACGTTACTGATTCAGATGCTGGTAGAGAGAGTATCATCACCTTACTGATCCTCCCGCACCTTCTCCAGCTGCAAGAAGTATTCTTGTGATTACAAAGCAAAACACGCGATATGAGCAAATAAATGCAAACGAGGGTGTGTGTGTGTGTGCTGTTGTGTGTGTTGTGTGTGTGTGTGTGTGTGTGTGTGTATGTGTGTGTGTGGTGTGTGTGTGTTTGTTTGCGCTGTGTGTGTGTTGTTGTGTGTGTGTTGTGTGTGTGTGTGTGTGTGTGCTGTGTGTGTGTGTCGTGTTGTGTGGTGCTGTGTGCGCCGGCGCGCGCGGCGTGTGTGTGTGTGTGTGGTGTGTGTGTTTGTGTTTTGCGTTGTGTGTGTGTGTGTGTGTGTGTGTGTGTGTGTGTGTGTGTGGTGTGTTGGTCTGTGTGTGCGCGCGCCGCAGCGCAAGCGTGTTTGGTGGTGCTGTGTGTGTAGTGTGTGTGTGCTGGTGTGTGTGTGTGTGTGTGTGGGTGTGTGTGTGTGTTGTGTGTGTGGTCTGTGTGGCGCGCCTGCGCGCGTGCCGTGTGGTGTTGTGGTGTGTGTGTGTGGTGTGGTGTGGTGTGACGCGCGCGCGCCAGCGTGTGTGTGTGTGATCGCGTGTGTCGTGATGTGTGCAAGTGTGGTGTGTTGTGCGTGTGTGTGTGTGTGTGTGTGTGTGTGTGCCGCGCGGCGGCGTCGTGTGGTGTGTGTGTGCTGTGTGTGTGTGTGTCGTGTGTGCTGTGTTGTTGGTGTGTGTGTTGTGGTGTGTGTGTTGTCGGTGTTGCCGTGTGTGTGGTGTGTGTGTGGGCTGTGTGTGTGTGTGTGTGTGGTGTGTGTTGTTGATGTGTCGTGTTTGTGTGTGTGTGTTGTGTGCGCGGCGTGCGTGTGTGTGTGTGTGGTGCGTGTGGTGCGTGTGTGTTGCGTGTTGTATTGTGGCCGTGGTAATAAATAAACGCGCTATCATTACATCCTAGGTGTTGATTAACTGTCACATTATTACATAAATGACGCCCATTAATTCCTCGAAGCAGTTGTGACGAAATGAAATATTACTAATTCATGCTTCATACCCTACCCTCTTACGATTAACGCGTGTAGCTTTGACCGTCTCTATGGAACGTGAAGTCACATCACTCGCGCACCACCCCTACCATGGCAAATGTTTTGAGCGGAGTAAGAGCGCATGGATTCTGTGGTTATTTAGCGCATGATAAAGGTAGTGTGTAGAGCTCGACAACCTCAGAGTATTTATAATATAATGTTGCTGTCGATGTCCTTAATTCAGCTTGCTGTCCTATGACGGCCTGCTATCAGTCTGTTCAATCACGCCTGTAGCGTATGGCGACGTGCTACTTGACGACTGCCATCCTTTGCTTGTTGGCGTGTGAATCTCTAGCTCTGTGGCCGGCCTGTAGTCATCCTGTCCGGAGTAAATGGCACTCACCTGAACTGCGCTCGTGGCTCCGTCATGTCCCCTACCATAATATAGTATATATAGCTACATGGATACATAATTATAAAATATATATATTATATATATAGTATATAGTAGTATATATATAATCTATATGCTACGTGTACATTTATGTTGGAAATGGTGCTCCGTGCTCCCGTCACTGCTCTCCTCATCGGAAAATCATCGTAAGCCAGTATGTACAGTCAGATAGTATAACCGCAGCAGCAGCATACAACGCACAGCAGCAGCAACAGCAGCAGGGCACAGCACATCAATATCAGCCGGCAGGCACGCAGCAGGCAGCATCACAATATATATATATATAAACGTTAACAAAATTGTGGAATTGTGGGGGGAATTGTTCGCGTGCCTCCTTCCTGCTCCACACAAAAGAAAACCACCAGCGCAATAAACTCCCAAGTGGAAATCGATATAGGCGAGCGAACATATTGGTAATTAAAAGGGACGAAACCGTAGACGGGAATTGACAAAAACGACATCGCGCGTTTATAAATTGATACAAAAAACGTAATTGTCAAAAGAATCAATGCAATAAAAAAACCGCGCATATATGAAACTGACAGAAGAGGAAAAACGTATGAAAGGAATCTGCGTGAGCAACCTCCAGGCATCGTAATTGCTAGAGACATCTCCCAAGAGAAATCGTCGGAAGAAAACGAGAAGGAGGAAGGTGTGTCGTGTATACACGTTCGTAGAGTGTCACTAGTCGCAGGGAATCTACTCCTACCGTCTTTCTCCACTATTACACGTCACAGCACCGCCATGCAGGAGCAGCAGTAACAGCCTTACCCCTATACCATAATCTCGACCACCACTGCACCACCATTATCATCATTCATCATCCATCATCATCACGCTACCATTATCATCAGCAATCACCACCACCGACACACCACGCGACACCACCACACCAACACCTAACAACAACAACACAACAAAACAACAACAACAACAACAACAACAGAACAACACTAACACACCGACCACCACCTACGCATGCGACGGCTGCCGCACCAATTCATGCAAACACAACACAACAATCAACAGCAACAACAAACAACATCATGCATCCATCATCATCATCATCATCATGGCCATGACAATCGTCTAATAACATTCCTGTACGCTAACCTCCTCATTACCAATGTGAGTGAGCGCTAGGTTTCTATAGTGTCGCCTCTATGTCTGTACAGTAAAACGACGCGCGTTGAATCAATAATGGAGTGCAGGGTCCCTCGCCCTGCGCTAGAGCCGACACCAGCGACAGACCATGGCAGGTGACAACTACAGAATGTAACACAGTGTGTGCTGTGTGTGTGTGTGTGCGTGTCGTGATGGTGTGTGGTGTGTGTGTTGTGTGGTGTGTGTGTTGGTTGTGTGTGTGTGTTGGTGGTGTGATGTGCGTTGTGGGTGGGTGTGTGTAGGTGTGTGCGTGTGTGTGTGTGAGTGTGCGTGTGTTTGTCGTGGGTGTTGTGTGTGTGGTGTGTGTGTGTGTGTGTGGCGTGCGTGTGTGGGTGTTTGCGTGTGGTGTGTGTGTGTTGTGTGTGGTGCGTGTGGTGTTGTTGTGTGCGTGTGTGTGTGTGTGGTGTGTGTGTGTGTGGGAGTGTGTGTGTGTGTTTCGTCGGTGTGTGGTGTTCGTGTGTGTGTGTCGTGTGTGTGGGTGTGTGTGCGTGTGTGCGTGTGGTGTGTGCGTGTGGTGCGGTGTGTGTGTCGTGGTGCGTGTTGTGTTGTGCGTGTGTGTGTGTGTACGTCGTGTGTGTGCCGTGTGTGTGTGGTATGTTTGTTGTGTGTGTGGTGTGTGTGTGTGTGTGTGCGCGCGTGTGTGTGTGTGCGGTGTGTGTGCGTGGTGTTGTTGTGTGTATGCGTGTGGTGTGTGTTGTGTGTGTGCGTGTGTGTGCCGTGTGTGCGTGTGTCTGTGTGTGTAGTGTGGGTGTGTGCGGCGTGGCCGCTGTCGTGTGTGTGCGTGCTGTGGTGTGGCGTTGTATTGTGCGTGATGTGTGCGTGTGGCGCTGTAGCGTGTGTTGTGTGTGTGTGTGCGTGTGTGTGTGGTGGCGCTGTGGTGTTGCGTGAGTGGTGTGTGTTGTGTGTTGTGTGTGTCTGTTGTGTGTGTGTGTGTGTGTGTGTGTGTCATGCGTGTGCGATGGTGACGGCTTTACAATCGTTAAGCGACGCTAGTTGCGACTATCCCATCTAATTGTTTTCTATACTGTCATGATACCACGCCGCCGCATCCACGCTGTCCCGACTATTCCCAGTAATGTGATGCAATGTATAATATATATATAATATATATAGATTAGTATATACATAAGTATATTGCATATATATACACATATACTGGAGAAGAGAGAGAAAGAGAGAGACATGAGATAGAGAGACGAGAGAGAGAGAGAGAAGAGTAGAGAGAAAGAGACGAGAGAAGGAGAGAGAAAGAGAGAGAGACAAGACCAGGAGAGGGATAGAAAGCGCAGTACAGAGAGGGATAGCATAAGCGAGACAGATAGAAGAGGGAGATTGGACAGATAGATAGAAGATAGATAGATAGACTAATCAGATACGATAAGATGAGATGTAGATAGATAGGTATAGACTAGATAGATAGATAGATAGATAAATAGTATAAATAGATTAATAGATAAATAGATTAGATAGATAGATTATGATAGATAGATAGATAGAATAGAATATGATAGCATAGATAGATAGATAGATAGATAGATAGATAGATAAAAGAACGAAGAGAGAGTAATGGGAGAAGAGAAGAAGAGAGTGCGCCGGAGAAAGAGAGGAGAGAGCGAGAGAGAGAAGAGAGGAGAGAGACGGGTGGGGAGAGATGGAGCAATACAAAGATAGAGAGATGGGGCATACATATATAACTTACGGATCATCATAGTTCTGGATAAGTTCCTCTAGTCCGAGCGTTCTCGATTCAGACACCAGCGTGTCCGCATGAAGACTCGAGTCAGATTCTCGCGAGCTCGGTAAATGAGAATACATTTCTTCTTTCATATGCGGCTGCTGCGCGTTTTTTCCTGTTCGTTTATCATCGTTCGCGTTATTGTCATCGGAAATCGATTCGTCCTTATTCTTGTCGTCGGCAATTTCACGATGGTTTTCGCTCGCGTCCGCGTGTTGATGTGTTTTGTCGGTCGGTTTGTCGCTGAAAGCGTTAGCTATTTTCTCCGGTTTACTTATCCCGTCACCCTTTGTGACGTCTGCTTCGTTACTCGAGCGGATTTCCGACAAATCTTTGTTTTTCGATTGCTTCGCCTCGCTGTTAACCTCGGGTTCTCTGGCGCCGTCAGTACTGTCCGCAATGTTTTTATCAGTTTTAGTGGTTTTATGAGAATTATCGCTCTCTGAGTATGAGGTTTGTTCGTTTGCGCCGATTGTTTCATTCGAGCGTTCGTGATTGCGTTCAACTTTCAATGTGCCGTCGGCGATTTTCTTATTGTTTCCGTCGCTATCGTCGCTGTGACGCTTATGTGCGTCGCCACCTTGCGGGGGTTTCTTGTCGTCGGCCGTCTTTTTGTCGGCTGAGTTAGCGCCACCCGCTAAACCTTTCCCGTCGACTAATCCCGGAGCTGTTCTATTGTTTTCGACGACGTCGCCGCCACGTCGGCTATCAGCTGCGCCGACGTCTTCCGTCGAGGATTCCGCCAAATTCTCGTCGTTTCTCTCGAGTTTTGCGTCGTCTGTGTCGTCGCTAGCTCCGCCGGGCCGACGCACCGTCGCGTCTCTCTCCGCTGGGAGTACGGCAGTCTCCTTCTCCTTCTCCGAAGTTCCTCCTCCACCGTCACCTCTCACTGACGCACCGGGATGCCCTGCAGCAGCTTCCTCATCCTCCGTAGCATCTTCCCCGTCGCGGCTTCCTAACTTCACATTAGCAGCAGCCGCTCTATGGGAGAACCCCGTCGTTTCGTTATGTTGCGTCGCTGGTTCGACCCGTTGTTCGGAGCTAATTGTGTGTGTCTCGGTCACAGTGTCCGTGTTCCCGTCTCCCATGGCATCACAGGCAAGCTGCCAATACAAGCACAGCAGTGTGTGACAACCAGGTGGAGGTGCGTGCGGGGGAGGGGGGGACTAGTCAGCGGTGGTGCACGCAGCACGGCAGCGAGCGTAGAACCCAGGTGTCGGCAGCCTCTGTGGTAGCGAAATACACGATGTTGTAGCATGGAGGTGAGAGTTTGAGCGGAGAAATATAGGAAAATTACAGAATGTGTGTGTGTGTGTGTGTGTGTGTGTGCGTGTGCGTGTATATGTGTGTCTGTGGGTGTGTAATAAATAAATAAATAAATTACAATAGATATTAAATATTATATACAACGTTAGTTTTACAAGTAACTAATTAAATGACTCGGAAACCTCAGTCGTTCTCATCATTTCACTAAGCTTAAAAGTTATTATATTTGTAAAGAATAGGCCCCCCCAGCCCCGGCGCCGCCCGCCGCCCCCGCGCCCCCCCCCCGGGCGGGCGCCCCCGCGCCCCCCCCATCGCATAAATAGTATATTTATATATTCTTGCACTCCGTATCACGATAAGACCAGATTTCATGATATCGTCCATTCAAGCACCACGCGAGAAATACCATTATATCCATTCCATTTATAAATTCAATACAGGGCGCGTTCTTTCTCGTCGTGTTAGTGAGATTGAATTCATCAGAGTAGCCCAGCTTGCCGCTGTGCGTGCATGTATTTACAGATTGCGTTCCCCACATTTAGAGCAGACAACAACGCTGCGCTCTCTATTCAGAAGCGACACTCCGATGAAAGAAGCTCTCGCAATATCTCGCGGGACGGACGCGGGGCGACGGCGTCTCTAGTGGTAGCGACTAAGAGCGACAGCAGTGCAATCTCCAATCTCTGATCGCTGACTCAAAATGAATCCCGACGATGAAGCTAATTCTAACTGCAATTCTATTACATCCTCGCCTCCGCTAACATCCACCTCTCCCCCCCAACCCGCAACACACACACACACTCAGCACAAGCACACACACACACACACACACACACACAGCACACAATGACCCACCACCACAGACGACAACACACACACACGACATCACCCACACACCACACACACACATGGCCCACACACCCAGCAATCAGCACACACCACCCAATCACACACAGCACACACACACACAGCACACACACACACACACACCCACACAGCACACACACACAGCACACACACACACACACACACACCACACAACACACAGCAAGCACACACACACACACACACCAACTCACACACACAACACACACACACACACACACCCACCCACACACACACACAACCACACACGCACCACACACACACACACACACACACCTCACCAACCACCCCCCACCCCACTACCGCACGCACCACCAACACAGCAAGAGCACAACCACCAACGACAGGCAGCAGCATGGCAGCAGCACGAGCAGAGCAGCAGCAGCACCCAGCACCAACACACCACCACCACGAGCAGCAGCCAGCAGGAGCAGTAACACCACCAACCACCAACAGCAGCAGCAGGACATAGCACCACCACCAACCACCAGCAGCAGCAGCAACAGCAGGGCACAGCAGAACGCATCCACCACCAGCAGTCACACCACACGCACGGCATCACCACCACTCACCATCACGCCACCACCCCTAATGCACGCATCACCCACCATCACCGCCACCACCACACCGACACCGAGCACAGCACACCTACTCACTACATCACCCCTCCACCACCATCCCCCGCACCACGCGATTCACCACCACCACCATCACCACCACCACCACCACCACCACCACCATCACCACCACCAGCAGCAGCAGCAGCAGCAGCAGCAGCACCACCACCACCACCAGCAGCAGCAGCAACAGCACCACCACCCGCCACCCACCACCAAAGATCTTCAACACGCAGAAAGAAAGCGATCCGAACGTAGAATATCCAGAAGAAATATCTGGATCGCTGCCAAGCTATCGTCTCCCGAGCTTTTCCTCGCCGCTGCGCTCCCTCGCGGACGGGTGTTTCGGGTATCGAGGCGTAATTAGTGAGCTAGTTGAATAATGAATGATGGCGGCTGCTGGGGATGATGAGCGTCGATAATTCGTAATTGGCGCATAAACGTCGTCCCACGCCGCCACGAGAAGTGTCAGAAGAATCAGCAAAAAACCTCTGTCGTCATTAAAGCAACGAGAATTTAGTTCAAAGCCGCAGTTAATTAATGGAGATATAATATAATATATAATATATATAATATAATAATGGATATATAATATAGCCTAATAACGTAACGACGTCGAGAAAGTTGAAGAAATGTCGAATGATGAATTTTCCTCGTGGCTCGTTAGATGGTATTATTGCGCTGCACGCGATTGTAACTGTCACAGCAAAAACACAGAGAAAGTATCAGCAATGTTATACACACACTCACGCTGACGCGCGCGCACGCTTAAATACGACACGGAAGTAGAGCATGTTGCGGTGTAATCTGCATCTCATTTATCGTCATTAAATCGACGATTAATTAAACAACTTGCCGGCTCATTAAAGTCTCTCGAAGCATCGCTATGACGTCAGCGAGCGCGACCTCGTGACGTGTACAGTGACGGCGCTGTGAGGCACATGGCGTTAGTTAGGCAAGGCGTCTGCTTCAAACACGTATCCGCCATGTTTCTACCTTAGCCCTGATCACCCACTACGCTCCCCCTCCAACGAATCGGATACTTCTAAAGGGTTGTCTATGATATATCTTATCATATCGAATTTGATAATATAAAAAAACACTATTATTAATATCATGATAAAATTCAATATTAATATATAATTATTTAATAATAAAATAATAACAACGTTAAGTTTAGAATATCAGCTTTCCATACGAAATAACGGCTGCAATCTAACCAAAAAAAAGCCATAGAATTTTTTTTGCTATCGTATCGTTTCCTGTCTCGCTTCAGGACGCCTTTTCTTCTCCGGAACTTTTCAGGAACTTATTAACGATATTTAACGGAAGCTTCCCTGCATTTCTTTCCCCGAATAAAAATTCTTCCGTTTGAAAGTGGCGCGTATGATTGCTGACTTCAAGTAGCGAGTGTATGACAGTAAATGCATTTCCAATATAACGAAGTTGTTGTTACGACGTTCGTTCGAGCGAGTGAAATATGATAATGAGGTTATTATAATGAGCACGCCAGCGACGGTTAAATTCTAATGTTATTTAACTCAGGAAATTTAAATAGATCTCATTCATCTAATTCTATGCACGAACAAAACGTACTCTAAATAACAATGCACGCTAGGAACACTGTTCCGCGTTATTCTGTCTATACCTATTTGAGAGAGAAAGAGAAGTGCTTTGCTTAGATGATCTCAGCAAGATATATACACACAGATAAAGCCAGAACTGCCTGTAAGTGTCGTCTGGTGTAACGGGGTGGATCAACACATCAAACGTTGCGACGATGTGCGTGTCAACGAATAGCCCGTTAGTTTTGTTCGCTCCACGCGAGGGAGAAGCGAGAATCGAACGCGTCTGCACGTGGCGGATGCGGTTACCACGGGCTACCGTCTGTAGCCCTTAGTTTCACCAACGCTAGACTCACTCATGAACACTCGACCCCCGCGTGGCAGCATCGCTACACAGCGCTCCGGTTTCAAAAGCGTTTAAAACAGCGTTGACTTTTACCGGTTCGATGAAAGGAGAGCGATGTAGATAGAGCGAATCGGAGCGAATAGCGTGAATGTTTGCTGTGGACGGTGAAGCAGCGCATCCATGAAACATTAGAGGTTGTTTGCATGAACACCGAGCGAGCGTCAACTTCTCGCCATATTGGTCTTACTGGCGCATGTGTGCATAGTGATGCTGTGTGTTTGTGTGTGAGTGCGTATAAAGATATATTTATATATATATATATATATATTCATATCATTCTATTATATAGTGCTGCCGTTTGAGTGAGTGAGTGTATGTGAGCGTGTGCGTGCGTGTGTGCGTGCGTGCGTGCGTGTATGTATGTGAGTGAGTGTGAGTGAATTTGACATTTTCTTTTTGTAAGAATGAAATATATGCGCCAGACTGCTGTACTGCCGCTTTATAACAATAATGGCGTTCTTTCGTGATAAAGTGTAATAATACTCACATTAACGTCATCCGCCCGTACGACGTGCTGCGACATTAAACGCCTGATTTAATATAACTTTAATTGGTGTTTTTCCTGTTTCGTTTGTAGCCATCAATTATTCACGAGACAATTTACTAGAATGTTCGATAAATGTATCGCCCATAAACCCTAACCCTAACATATGCGACGGAAATAGCGTGCACACGCACGTACACGCACGCGCGCCACGCACGTACAGCCACACACACGCACGCGCCACGCACACAACACACGCACACACACATTCACACAATACCACACACACAACACGCACACACACACACACACACAACACACACACACACACACACACACAGCACACACCCACACAGCACACACACACACACACACACCACACACCCACATCAACACAACGACACACACACACACACACAACCACACACCTCCACACACACAGCACAACACACAATCGCCGCGCAGCCGCGCACACACACACGACACACACGCACGTGACAGCACCGCGCCGCACGCACACACACACAGCGCACATACACACACACACACACACACGACACACACACACACGCCCACACCAGCAGCCAGACACATCACACGCACACGCGACACGCACGACATGCACACCACACACACACACACACACACACACACACACGCCACACGCCACACTGCACACGCCACACACATTACAAGCACACGCACACGCACACGCACACGCACAACGCACACAACACCAGCACACACGACACACGCACACGCACACGGCACACGCACACGCCCACGCACGCACACGGCCACGCAACGCACACGCACACGCACACGCACTACGCACACGCACCACGCACACGCACACGCCATCACG